TGCTTTTGCCCTCAGGAGACTGACTGCAAAGCTGTACTTACCACAGAGTATCAGTGTGTGCGTCTGCCAGGTGGGAGGCTCGGGCTTCTTTCCCAGTCTGACATCCTGACCTGGTGTTGAGATCCTGTGGTGATCTAGTGGCTTTATTGTCTGGCTCTGTGTGTTTGCAGTGATTTGGGTACTGTGAAGACTGACCCATTTCCTTGCCCCAGGGTGAGGAAGTGGCTTCCAGTCAGGTGTGCATTGGGAGCAATTGTATTTTGGCTTTGAATGGCTCACCTGCTTTTGCTTTTCCACCTTCAGCCTCCCACTCCCACGGAGGGCTGGCAGGGGTGGGTGTCCCCGTCTCAGTGCAAGGTCTCCTGGCCGGTGGTGGCACTGGTGGCAGTGATGCCTCACTCAGAGAGGCAATCATGGGGTGCAGGCAGCAGCCAAAGCAGTAGCTGAGGGGGAGAAGAGGGGTGAGAGAAGAGCCCCTGGCACCTCGGGGCTCTAACAAGCACCTTTTCATCGGGCATGAAAAGTCCTCTGGCCTGCGTTCATGACAGCTGCCCTTTGTCTGTGGGCATGATGTGAAGCCACCATTGTGGAGGGGGAGCACACAGGGAGGGCTTGTACCTTGCTTCCAGGCTGCCAGGACGTGCAGTTTCCCTGTGAACGCAAAGCGAGCTGTCGGAGCAAGTGAGTCAGGCTGGCGGAGGGGAGGCCGGGGGTGGCAGCCCCGCTGTTGCCGGCTCAGGCCCCTGCTTCCCGCACCTCCGGAGCCACTGCTGGCCGAGAGGGGATGGAGCTCTTGGCCAATTGGGCGCTGATCTGAAGCGAGGGGGGGAAAGCTGCTTCTCCCCCCCCCTCCCACCTCCGCGCTGGGGCTGTGATTCAGTTCCCCTCCCCCAGCCCACCCCCTCTGCTTGGAGGCTGACAGTTGGAGCCGCAGTCTGCCGGAGCCCCGGAGCTGTTTTCTAAGCCGTGGAAGAGACCCAGGGATTTAGTCGCAGTTCCTCAGTGCCTGCTGTGTCCCGGGCCGGATGCGCGCGGACATGGAGAGTGTCAGCCTCCAGCGACCCGCCTGGAAATGGCAAGTACTGAGTTTGTTTTTGCTCTGCGGCTGGGGCTGGGTCTCCGGGCAGATCCACTACTCGGTGGTTGAGGAGTCAGAGTTGGGAACCGTGGTGGGGAACGTGGCCCGGGACCTGGGCTTGAAGGTGGAGGAGCTGCCGGGTCGCAGGCTGCGCCTGGGCTCAGAGGAGAGCTTGCGCTACTTCGCCGTGCGCCTGGACAGCGGCACGCTGGTGGTGAGCCAGCGGCTGGACCGCGAGCGTCTGTGCGGAGCAGCTGCCAGCTGCGTGCTGTCGGTGCAGGTGGTGACAGAGAACCCCCTGCAGCTCTTCCGCCTGGAAGTGGAGATCCTGGATCTGAATGACAACTCCCCGAGCTTCCCCACCGCTCACCGCACCCTGCGCATCGCCGAGTCTGCCACTGTGGCCGCGCGCTTCCCCCTGGAGAGCGCGCAGGACCCCGATGTGGGCACTAATGCTGTGAGCTCCTACCGGCTGAGCCCGAACTCCCACTTCTCCCTGGACGTCAAGCAGCAGCCGGATGGCAAACTCTTCCCGGAGCTGGTGCTGGAGCGTGCCCTGGACCGGGAAGAGCAGCCAGAAGTGCAGCTGGTGCTGACGGCTGTGGACGGGGGAAGCCCAGCACGCTCAGGCACGGCACAGATCACGGTCCAGGTCCTGGATGTCAATGACAATGCACCCGTCTTTGACCACACCACGTACAAGGTGAAAGTCCCGGAAAACACACCTGTGGGGGCTGTGCTCCTCCGGGTCAATGCGTCTGACCCCGACGAGGGTCCCAACGGGGAGACACAGTATTCCTTCGGGGTTCACACCTCCGACTCAGTGCGGAGACTCTTTGCCCTGGATCCCCGCTCTGGCGAGGTCCGGGTGAGTGGGGCCCTGGACTTTGAGGAATCACGTTTCTATGAGATCTACGTGCGAGCCCACGATGGAGGGGTCCCAGAGATGGAGGGCAATTGTGTGCTGCAGGTGCAAGTGGAGGATGCCAATGACAACCCCCCGGAGGTGCTGCTCACATCCCTGTTGAATCCGGTGCCAGAAGACACCCCACCAGAGACTGTCGTGGGGCTCTTCAACATACGGGACCGAGACTCAGGGGCCAATGGGGATGTGAGCCTGGAGATCTCCCCCGATGTGCCTTTTGCCATCAGGTCCCTTCAGAACCACTTCTCCCTGGTCACCCAGAAGAGCCTGGACCGAGAGTCTACCTCACAGTATGCAGTGGAGCTGATCGCCCAGGATGGTGGTTCTCCTGCCCTCACCACCACACTCACGCTGCTCCTCAATATATCTGATGTGAATGACAACCCCCCACGCTTCTCGCAGCCCTCCTACGAAGCCTTTCTCCAGGAGAACAACCCGCCTGGCTCCCTGCTGTGCACCGTCTCTGCCTCAGATCCTGACGCCGGGGATAATTCCCGGCTTGTTTACTCCATAGAGAGTGGCCAAGTGCAGGATGCCCCCATCTCTTCCTTCGTCCACATCAACCCTGACAATGGTAATCTCTATGCCCAGCGCACCTTCGACTTCGAGGTGCTGCAGGTTCTGCCGGTGTCTGTGGTCGTGAGGGACTCGGGGTCCCCCCCTCTGTATGCCAATATTACTGTCTACATCTTTGTGCTGGACCAGAACGATCATCCCCCCACCATCCTGTACCCTGCCAGTGACAGCGATGTGCCGGCACCCCAGAGGGTTCCACTGTCTGCCCCACCGGGCTACCTGGTGGCCAAGGTGACAGCAGTGGATGCAGATGCTGGCCACAATGCCTGGCTCTCGTACCGACTGTTGCCACAGTCCACCGACCCCTCCTTGTTCCACGTGTCGCTGTACACCGGGGAGGTGCGGACGGCGCGTGCCTTCCAGGACAGCGACATGGCAGTGCAGCAGCTCGTTGTCCAGGTGATGGACAACGGTGACCCTCCGCTCTCCACCACTGCCACCATCACTGTGGCCCTGGAGGAGGCAGCCCTGGAGGAGAGCTTCAAGCCTCAAGATTTCCTGGCTGGTGCCAAGGAGAAGCCGGACCTGACCTTCTACCTGATCATCGCGCTGGCAGCTATTAGCACGGTGGCACTGGCCACTGTCACCCTCCTGGCCGCCCGGTGCCTCCGGCGCAGGGGCCGTGCCGCCGTCTCACCCTACTGCTGCTGCTGGCTCAGCGAGTCGCCCTCCCGGGACTTCTGCAAGCACTCCAGCCCCAAGCTCCAGCTCAGCTCCGACGGCACCCTTAAGTACATGGAGGTCACGCTGCGACCCACCGACTCCCCGTCCCAGTGCTACAGCACCTGCTTCTCCCCCGGCTCCGAGCGGAGCGACTTCACCTTCCTGCGGCCCTGCCCAACCCCCGCCACGCTGCCGAGGGAAAGCGGGGTTTTCCTGCCCGCCGCCGGCACGCTGCGGGACCGCGGCCAGGTGAGCGGCGGTGCCGGGGCGGGGTCCGGCGGTGCCGGGCGTTCCGACGGCGCGGTCCCCGCGGGGGGCGCGGAGCGGCCGCGCCGGTTCGCGGGCCGTGATTGGCGCCGGTGTTGCTGTCCTGGGGAAGGAGCGCGGCGATTGGAGCGGAGCCGCCGCGGCCGCAGCCAATGGCGGGGCGGCTGCGCGGCCGCGCTCCCCCCGCCCCGTCGAGCCGCGTCCGCCCCAAACAATGAATGGGAGCGGCGAGCGCTGAGCGCGGCCCCCGGCGCCGAGGGCATCGCTCCCCGGCCGGCCACCCGGCAAGGATGCCGAGGGCAGGGCAGGCTCGCCGGTCCCTGGGGCTGCCGCGTGTCTTCTCCTTCTGTTTGTTCTTGCACAGCTCGTCTGCTCAGATCCGATACAGCATCCCGGAGGAGCTCACACGGGGTGCCTTTGTGGGCAATATCGCCAAGGACCTGGGCACGGATGTGGCTAAGCTGGCGGCAGCTAATCTGCAGGTACTGTCGGATTCGGATTCCCAGTACTTCTCCGTCAATGTGAACACCGGTGTTATTATGGTCAGCGAGAGGATAGACCGGGAGCAGCTCTGCGGGCAGAACCCACGCTGCTTCCTCCACTTGAAACTTGCCATCGAGAACCCGGTGGAGTTTTATCGTATTGAGGTGGAGATCCTGGATATCAATGACAACCCCCCGCAGTTCCCCAGTGATGAGGTCTCCTTGCGCATCTACGAGCTGGCATCTCTGGGTGCCCGCTTCCCCATCCAGCCAGCCCAGGACCCCGACGTGGGCACCAACACCTTGCAGACCTATCACCTGAGTGCCAATGACAACTTCAACCTCAACGTGAAGGCCCGCACTGATGGTGGAAAGTTCCCTGAGCTGGTGCTGGAGCGGGCCCTGGACCGGGAATTCAGAGCTTTCCACTACCTGGTGCTGACTGCTGAAGATGGGGGCTCTCCCCCACAGTCCAGCAAGATACGCATCACTATTCAGGTCCTGGATGCCAACGACAACCACCCAGTCTTTGACAGACCATCATACGGAGCACGCTTGGTGGAGAACTCGCCGCTGGGCACCCTCGTGGTGAAGTTAAATGCCACTGATGTGGACGAGGGACCCAACGGAGACATCCGCTACTCCCTCAGTAGCCACAACTCAGCTGCCTTACGCCAGATCTTTGCCATCGATGAGCAAACTGGGGAGATTCGTGTCCAGGGCAACCTGGACTTTGAGGAGGCGACAGTGTATGAAATCGAAGTGGAGGCCAAGGACATGGGGTCGCCCACGATGGAGGAGCACTGCAGCGTGGTGGTGGAAATCACTGATGTCAATGATAACGCCCCTGAGGTCATTCTTACCTCCTTCTCAAGCACCCTGAGCGAGGATGCACTACCGGGCACAGTGGTGGCCGTGATACACGTCAGAGACAGGGACTCTGGCGAGCTGGGCAAGGTCCTGTGTCACGTGTCTCCAGATCTTCCCTTTCAGCTGCGTAAGGACTATGAGCACCAGTACTCGCTGCTCACCAGCACCCGCTTGGACCGGGAGCACGTTGCCTACTACAATGTCACCGTCTCTGCCTCAGACCTGGGCAATCCCCCACTCTCCCGCCACACCATCCTGCCAATCACCCTGATAGATGTCAATGACAACGCTCCCCAGTTTGAGCAAGCATCCTATGAAGTGCTGGTGGCAGAAAACAATCCAGTGGGCAGCGTGCTGGTTACAGTCTCTGCTGCTGACCCTGACTCGGAGCAGAATTCCCGCCTGTCCTACTCCATCCTGCGAGCCGGTGGGACAGATCCAGGCCTGGATCCTGCTCGCTACCTCTCAATACATCCCACGAATGGGCAGGTCACTGCCAAATTCCCTTTTGACTATGAACAAACCACCTATCTCCAGTTCCATGTGGAGGTCTCTGATGGTGGCTCCCCGGCCCTGAGGAACAGAACACTGGTTCATGTTTTTGTAGTGGACCAGAACGACAACGCCCCACGGGTGCATTTCCCCAGGGCTGGGGAGGACTCTGCTACTCAGCTCCGAATTTCCCCCTCCATCGTCCCTCCTGCCCTCATCACCAAGGTGGTGGCAATAGATGCGGACTCGGGGCGCAATGCCTGGCTATCCTACCACCTCGTGGAAGCCACAGACCTGGGGCTTTTCAGCGTGGCCCTGCGTTCCGGGGAGGTCCGGATCATGCGGGCTCTGCAGGAGACGGACGCCTCTGCGCACGAGCTGCTGGTGGTGGTCCGGGATGCCGGGGAGCCCCCGCTCTCCACAGCTGTCACACTGGTGGTGCTGGTGGAGGAGAAGGGTCCAGAGGCCCTGCAGGGCTCCGAGGCTCGGGCCGCTGATGGTGGGGGCTTGCCCACTGTTACCCTTTATCTGATTGTGTCCCTAGTGCTCATCTCCACCGTCTCGCTGGTGGGACTGGCAGCGCTGGGTATTCGGTGCCTCCGGCGGGGCTCTGCACCTGCCAACCAGGGCGGCTGCGTGGAGAGCGTGAACACGCTTCAGCCTCCTCCTAGCCACATCTTTGGGCACTTGCACTATGAGCCTAAGAAAGGGGACACTGTGATGGGCGTGCAGGTGACAGCAACAGCACCCCCCGCCCCTCGTTACCGCTCCTGCTTTTCGCCAGTGTCGGATATCAGCGAGTTCATGTTTGTGAAACCCTCCGCGGATCCCACCCTGTGCAGCGAGGTGAGCTCGGGAGTGCGGTCTCCAGCCTGAGCACAACCCCGCTGCTGGCGGGGCTCGGCGCCGAACCGGCCGGTTTTGGGGAGGGGGTGTCCGCCGGTGGCCGGTGCCAGCGGCCGGGGCGGGGCGGAGCGGGGTTCCCGCTGCCGGGAGTCCCCGGCGCCCTCCCGGCGCTGCGGGGGCGGAGTGGCGGCAGCGGGGGAAGGCGGGGGGGCTACGCCGTGCGTATTTTGGGGAAGGCGGTGAGATGGAGAAGGGGAGGAGGAGGGAGAGAAAAAGGAGGAGGAGGAGGAGGAGGAGGGGGCTGTGGAGAGACGTAAAACTGTCACTCGGTCCATCCCCTCCGCTCGCCGACTTTGTGTGTCTTTGCGTATCGAGGAGCGGTTCAGCCGGCCGGGCTGAGCTCGCCCCCTCCCCCGCCTCCTCCATCCCTCCCTGTCCGGCTCCGGCGGCTCCGGCGGCGGCTTCCTCCCTGCACAACCCGCTCGGACCCCCCCGGGGCGCAGGGGTTCCGGCTGCCGGGGCCGGCTGCGGGGGCGGGGAGGAGGGGGAGGCTGCGCGGAGCCGCCGCCGCTCCTCTCCGCGCCGCTCCGTTCGCACACCCGGCACGGGATGCTCTCGGGACAGAGTTTGCCATGGCAGCTCCCGCTGCTGCTCGCAGCCCTCTCCTGCCTGCCGGCTCCCAGCTGCGCCCAACTCCACTACTCCGTGCCCGAGGATCGCGAGCCGGGCTTCTCTGTGGGCGACCTGGCCAAGGACTTGGGGGTGGAGGTGCGGAGCCTGGCCGCCCGCAACCTGCGCCTGGTGAGCGAGGGTGGGCAGCGGCACTTCAAGGTGGACCTGGCGGCAGGTGTGCTGCTCCTGGACAGCAGGCTGGACCGGGAGGCGCTGTGTGGGCAGAGCCCCACGTGCTCTCTGCACCTCCAACTCGTCATGGAGAATCCCCTCCAGCTCCACCGTGTTGAGGTGGATGTCCTCGATGTCAATGACAACGCGCCCCAGTTCCCCAAGCCTGAGGTGGTGTTGGAGATCACTGAGGTAGCCAACCCTGGGACTCGGCTGCCCTTAGAGGTAGCAGAAGACCCGGATATGGGCTCCAACTCCATCTCCACCTACGAGCTCAGCCCCAGCAAGCATTTTGCCCTGAGCATCAACGTGAGAGGAGATGGTGTTAAAATGCCCGAGATCGTACTTGAAAAAGCACTGGATAGAGAGAAAGTGCCTGTTCATCATCTAACACTGACAGCTCTGGATGGAGGGAATCCTGTGAAATCTGGCACTGCCAGGGTTACTATCCATGTCTTGGATGCAAATGACAACCCTCCTGTGTGTGACCCACCCATATCCAAGGTACTTCTGGAGGAGAACGTGCCAGTGGGCACTCTGGTCACCAAGCTGAATGTCACCGACCTGGATGAAGGTCCTAATGGGGACGTGGAATATTCTTTCAAAACCAGCAATAATGCACCCGGTAAATTCACCAAACTGTTCTCCTTAGATGCCCGTACAGGGGAGATCAGAACCAAAGCCCCGCTGGATTATGAGGAATCCAGTGCTTACGAGATTGCAGTTCGAGCCAGGGACAAGGGATCACCAGCCATGGAAGGCCACTGTCACCTGCGAGTGGAATTAATTGATATCAACGATAACAGCCCAGAGATTGTGCTGACCTCTGTCTCCAGCCCAGTGCAGGAGGACGCAGCCCCGGGCACGGTGATCGCCCTCATTGGTGTGAAGGACAGCGATTCCGGTGACAATGGGCAGGTCCGTCTGCAGATAGCAAAAGAGCTCCCGTTTAAACTCGTGTCTTCTTTTAAAGAGCATTTCTCGCTGGTCACCAGCGGGCCCCTTGATCGGGAAAAGGCCAGTGGATACAACATCACAGTGAGGGCTGTGGATTCAGGGTCCCCCCAAAGGGCCACGCAAAAAACCTTTTATCTCCGCATTGCTGATGTGAATGATAACGCACCGAATTTCTCCAGCCCTTTTGATACAGCTCATGTTCAGGAAAACTCCCTCCCTGGAACTTCTGTCTTTTCGGTGTTGGCATCAGATCCTGACGAGGGTAGCAATGCCAAGCTGTCTTACTCCATCCTGGACAACGGGATGCAGGATGTACCTATCTCAACCTACTTCCGAATAGATCAGGACAATGGCACCATCTACACCGTGCGAGCTCTGGATTACGAGCAGGACAAGGTGTTCCAGGTGCCTGTGGAGGTGAAGGATGCTGGGTCTCCTGCTCTGAGTAGCACTGCTGTGGTCCATGTGTTTGTCCTGGACGAGAATGACAATGCTCCCAGCATTGTCTACCCGTCTGTCCCCAAGGGCTCTGCCTTCCACCAAGCCATCCCGGCCTTGGCAGAGCCTGGCTATCTGGTAACTAAAATTGTAGCAGTTGATGCTGACAGTGGCCATAATGCCTGGCTGTCCTACCAGCTGCAGGAGTCTGCTGAGGCTTTGCCTTTCCAAGTGGAACGCCGCACTGGAGAGATAAGGGTTGCGCAGGCTCTCAGGGAGTCAGAAGATTCCCACAGGCTGGTGGTCGAAGTGAGGGACAACGGCACGCCGTCCCTCTCAGCCTCCGTGGTAATAGTCATTTCTCCGGAGGAAAACAGCGTGCAGGACTTCTCCAAGTCCTTGGACCTCCCCCAGTCTTCTCCCGAGGATACCAACCTAACGCTTTACCTCATCATCTCCTTGGTGTCCATCTCCCTCGTGTCCTGTGTGATGTTCGGGCTGGCGGCTGCCCGGTGTCTCAAAGCTGGCAGTGCCAGCTGGACCTTGGCGGGTTGCTGCCGAGGGACTGGCCGCAAGCCCGCCTCCCATTTCCGAGGGCAGATGAAGCCAGATGGCTTCATCAAGTACCTGGACGTGGGAGGAGCGGGCCTGACCTCCCAGGCACAGAATTACACCTCTTGTTTCTCGCCCATGTCTGACCAGAGCGATTTCCTCTTTGTAAAGCCCTTCAGCCATTCTAGCACTGCGGAGACCGTGGCTGCCTATGAGCAGGTGACCAGCACCTTAGCGAGTCCCTGCGATGGGGTAAGAGATGGCTGTTTCTTACTGTCCTCCCAGCTAAGTGCAACAGTTTGCCATATCCAGGCCAGCTGGCTGCTCTCTGTCTGTCCTTCCTCCCAAGACGGCGGCCTCAGGGCACACGTGTCACTGTCATCTCCTGGGAGGTGGCAGGTGAAAGTTTTGGCTCAGCTTGTTGGAGGTGGGGGAAGGGGCTGAGCAGAGTTACAGAATCAAAGACTCTGCGTTTGTAGCAGTGGAGAATTCCCCCTCGGCCCCGCTCGTACTCGTTTCTATTTAAAGTGATTCTTAGCCTGGGCAGGAACAGGTTTTTTGGGGGTTTAACTTCTTGGTTCTGTTCAACCCCTTTTTCCTACATGGCACATGAACTGTGGTGCGGAGGAGGTTGTCTGAAAGGAAAGCCTGCCTGTGTTTCTTTTGCTCAGTTTTAGAGGTGCATTGTAGAAATTTCTCATTTCCCAAACCGCAGGTGTTACTAATTACCGACTGTGCCTCGGCAAGGAATCATTTTCCAGCTTGGTCATGTTGAGCGAGGAGCTGAATTCAGTATTCAGCACTAAAATACTGAAATGTCAGGAGTGACATTATTCACAAAGATCCTGGTGACCTTATGTGCCCTTGGGCTTGCAGAGGCTGAGGAGCGGCAAGCTTTGAAAACTTGAGCTGTTTGTACTCAGGTGCCTAAATATAGATGTAGGTGACTGTGTTTAGCTGGAGCTTTTATAACTTTGGGATATAAAAAGTGAAGCAGTTTTGTGCCACAAATGCCTGCCCTAAATTTGAAAATGGTAATTACAACAGGAATTCAAAATATGGAAGGGCTATTCAAAATATTGGGAAGGGCTTATCTAGTGCAGTATTGTGTGTCAGCGTGCATCTGAAATCTGGAGGGCAAACAGCTTCGTTTCTTTAAACAGCTTCATTTGCATGCAGCATGGGGACCAGTGGGACATCTATTTTAGGGGAGTAATTTATTCCAATATCTTCTTTCATGAGTATCATCAAAGCTGCAGAGAAATTAGTGAGAGCACATCTACTAAATAAAAATCTAGGTCAGCTCTACTCGTCTTCTCTTTTCCTTAGTAATTGCGTGTACAAGCAGAATAATCCTATAAAACTGATGTTCCACTATGTATGGACTACGAGCTGCTCCTTCCTAAGATAGCTGAGGGAAGTGCTGTCCTTTCCAGGTAGTATGTCATCACTCTGAAGTTCATTAAGATGATGATGATTTTGGGAAGTGTGTGTGTTTTCCTGACAGAAACAGTTGTGCTATTTAGTGCTTTCCACAAAGGCACGATTCAAACAGGAATATACAAGCTTACTCCATGTCCTTCCTTATTTACAGAATGTTCATTGTCTGGTTGTAAAATAACACAGGCAGAGAGCGATATGGGGGCTTATTAATGAGGTTGCAAAGTGTGCTGCTGTGTCTGAAGGTTATTGTGTCTCCTAAACAAATAACGCTTTTTCCTCTTGCTGTCGGAAGTTTATTCTTTTCTCTGTGGACAGAAAAAATATTGTAGTGCTCCAAGGCCACAGCAGCTAGGAAAAGTCATTCAAATACAGTGCCTGAAAACAAGATCTCAGGCAGGCCTTTTTAAGGACAGAAGATTAGGAAGGTCTGTTACCATTTTACCTTAGAGCATTAAAAGCATCTTTCTCAGTATCAATTAACTCTGCCACCCCCTCACACCCCCCTTCCTCCTCCAAGCTCATTACTGTGGTACCACTGCTCCTGCTGAATTCATGCCCTTATCAGTTTATTTCATGCTTCATTTCTTTCACAGCCTGGTTTCCTGAGCTGCTTTGGAAGATTATTCTCTGAACAGTTTTTGTCGTGCTTTTTGGTATTCATGCTGCTTCAGAAATACTCAAGGAAGGGGGAGGGGGAGCTTTCTCTTTGTTCTAATTGATTTGCTTCACTTGGACAGAACATGCTGATATTCCAGACTGAAATAATCCAGGATCAGCTCGCTTTCATTTTCAAAGGCAAGAATGGAGGTATTAAAACACTTCTTTTTCTTTGCAGCAAGCTCAGCCTAACACAGATTGGCGCTTCTCTCAGACCCAGAGACCTGGAACAAGTGGGTAAGTGACTCTTTCTTCATTTATCTGTGGGATGAATGTTTCTTTTCTCGGTGTGCCACTTTCAGTGCTGGGCAGTCCATGAGTGGCAGCTCTGGGAGCGGGTGTCCCTGTCACTGATGGAGTCAGAAATAGGGCTGCTCCTGGGGCAGCTGTGTTTGGTGGGGGTGTGACAGCTGCCTTTGGCAGTGGTGTGTCTGTCTGGGTTTGGTGTCTGCTCCTCAGGAGCTGGAAGGAACTCCAGGTGAAGTCAGGACATGGTTGAAGGACTGGACAATGGGCTTCACAGAGAAAGGCTTCTTTGCTAAAACAGATTCTGAGCATGTAAATTCTTTCCTGAGTCAAAAATCTCAACTCCTCTCCCTTCATGAAGTCCACTGGAAATCGCTCCTTTTACCAGTCATGGGACCTTGAGCTCTGTGGGTAGGGTCAGGGTTTGTGAGGGTTTCCTGAGGTGTGCTCACAGCACATCTCACAGAACCCCAGAGCTTCACCTGGTCCCACCTCCCTGCTCAGCAGGGTCATCCCAGAGCACACAGCACAGGATTGTGTCCAGACAGATCTGGAACATCCCCAGTGAGGGAGATTCCACCACCTCTGTGAGGTGTGTGTGAGGTCAGAAGAGGAGCCCCAGCAGCACAGCAGGGACCTCCCAAGGGGGCTTTGGCCCTTGCCAAGTGGGCACCCTGCTCGTGACTGGGGCTCTCCTGCCTCCATCCCACCAAGGTTTGCTTGTCTTGGTCCGCAGTGAGAGACCACTGACAACAAAATGTTGTTCTTTGCCTCTCCCATCTTTTCTCCTGGCTCATGAGCAGGATCCCCTTCAGAGGGTGAATTCCCTTGGAAGAAAGAACTTTAACTGAATTTCGCCTTTCTCTGTGAATACCCCAACCAGAGGTCACTGTGTATGAGGAGACTGGCTCCAGGATCATTTCTGTGTGAAAAGACTGTATCTTTTGGGGCAGACCTGAGACTCTCTGAACTACCAGGAGTGGGTTTGGGTGATGTGCTTCCTCATCTGGCTGGCTCAAGCTCTGTATCTCTGTGCTTTGTCATTCCTGGGGGCCACTTGGGCAGCTCCTGGGGAGCTTAAAATGGTGGCATGGGAGAAGTGGGTGCTGGATTTTGGTGTCAGAGCTTGCAATTGAACATCTGCAGCAGCTGCCTGTGCCTGACTCTTTGCCTGGGTCTGGCTCAGTAATTTATCTTATCAGAAAATTAAGAGATTGCTATAGCCAACTTGTTGGAGTGATTAAACCTTGCAATTCCAGCTGATAAAGCTGAAATGGAGTGAGGGTTTGATGTAATTAGATAAAGTGTTCATAGTAGAAACTGGCCTTGGAGAAACTTGGCCTTAAAACAAAGCTATAGCTGGAATAGTTTTCTTGGGGATCTGTTGAGTTCCCCATCACTGACAACATTTTAATCAAGGAAAATCTTTCTAAGCATTTCCGCTCCAGTTCAAATGACAATTAACAAAGCCCTGTTAATTCAGGAGTGCACCACAGCTGCTGTAATTGTTTTGCTGTGGGAAGGCAGTAAATGAGCCCCATCAGAGCAGCCTCTTCTGCTCCCTCCTCTCTAGCATCGTGCTGGGGCTCTTCAGGGCACAGAGCTGCTGCAGTCCAGACCCCTTAGCTCAGTGACAGAGGCTTTTCTCAGGTCATGGGACAGTGACCAGCCCCTGCCTGGATCTCTTCACAAGCTCCATCCCCTTCCCAGTGCCTGAGACAGCAGCAACTTGTGGGAACAGAGAGAACAAGAGGAAATTGAGCCTCAGACTGTTTGTGGGGAGCTGAACGAGTGTGACATGTGAGCTCTGGTGCAGGAGCCACGATGTCACTGCTGAGGATCTGTGACCTGGGTGCCCAGGACAGTCCCTGGAACAGCTCCTCTTGAATCACACAATGGTTTGGGTTGGAAAGGACCTTCAAGCTCATTTTGTTCCAACCCCCTGCCATGGGTAGGGACACCTTCCTCGGGACCAGATTGCTCTGAGCCCTGTGTTGTGACAGGGGGTCCCACAGCATGGGCTGAGCCCTGACTTTGGAAAGAGACTTTGCCCAAGCACAGGCTGCTGCTAAAATAACTGGAAAAACTCAGTGGATTTCAATTCCTGCTGGTTTTCCCCACTTGCCTGTGTCCACATTTACAACAACTCTTGCAGATTTTTTTCCCCGTTTCTTTCATCTTGTTTTAAGTTAAATGAAGGGGGATGTTTTTATCCCAAACCTATTAAAGGATGGAAATAGAAAGTGCTGTCGTATGTTCAGTGCCCAGCCCTGACATCTCCCTGGCGATCAAACAGGCACATCCTGGAACACAGCCCTCTCCCCATTGTGCTGTTCCCGTGCTCTTCCCGGCGTTTTGATGCCTGCTGTGTGAATTCCCCAGGCACTGCTTGGTAGTACAGACATTAAAGAGGGGGCAAGTGCAGCAGCCTGAGCCCGGCTCTCTGCTCTCTCTCTGCTGTTAAAGCCCCTGGAAATGTGTTTCCTGCTGGCAGGTGAAGCTCTGTGGCACCACGAGCTCTCTGAACTGCAGAGCTCTGCTTCAGCCTTCTAGCTGAAAATCAGACAAAGAGATGTGCTCTTAACTCTATTTGACCCAAATTAAATAACAGTAAAGACACAGCAGCTTAGGCCAGGGGTTTGGATGGATCGTGGGGAGAGCCTGGCACTGACCCTAAGCCAGAAAGAAGCTCAAACCCATGTTGGGATTTCTCCCTTGCTGTCTCCATAGGAGCTGGGGAAGAAACAATGCTGTCCCTTCTCCGCACAGCCCTGCCCATCACAACAAATCCCACATGTCTCTGGGCACCTGGAACCGGGCAGAACAGGGGGAGCTCAGTGAGGCAGGGACCAGCTCTTGATCCGGCACATCGCTGCTGCTCCAGGACAACAAAGGGAATCTGCTCTTTGTTCTGAAACACGGGAGAGCTCTGGTGCACATGCTCAGGAGAAAGGAGCTCAGACAATATGCTCTGAAAATGTGGTAGCGAGGCAGACCTGAGCAAAACAGAATTAATCTTGTTTGGGAGAAATAGGAGGATAGGATGATTAATTTAATTATGTTTGTGTTTTGTTTTTCTTAAAAAAAACCAACCCCACGCTTTTCTGTTGCTGGGCAAATGTAAATGAATCCAGAGTGATTCCGAGCAGCAGATGCCATTCCCAGACAAATCAGATCAGTGGCTGTAGCAGAAATTACAGCAATGAATTGGCCAAAGTGGAGTAAATGAATGGTCCAGCAGCACGGCAGGGTATCCCTGTGGGGGGGTCAGCGTGGGGTTCCCTGTGGGAGGAGGCTGGAGGTGTATGGGAGGAGAGTGCGGGGACTGGGGCCGGTACAAAAGAGCACAAAAGAGCCATCGTGTTGTTTTGTTTGGTTTTCATTGTTGTGCCCTGAGTGTTCATGATGCTGCCTGAGCTGGATGCTCTTTGTTTTGGTATCTGCGGGATGATTTGTTCAGGAAAACGCCGGGCTGGAGTCAGGATTTCCTTCCTGGAGGATGGGGAGGGCTCTGTGTTGCTCACAGGTGGGCATGAGAGGGTGAGACAGGCCTGGGAGGCTTCTCGGGGCAGGACTGAGGACAATTTTGGGCTGTGTGGACAGGACAATTTTGGGCTGTGTGGACAGGACAAGAGGAGATGCCAGGCAGGAGACACCCCAGAGACAGCGGCAGGGCGCTCACAAGGAGTGGGGAAGCAGTGTGAGAATCCATGGCAACTCCAGGGGAGGGAGGAGCGAAGCGCGTAGAGAAGATGCAGGGTTGCCATTTCACACATCCCCCTTCCATTTGTTTTCTCCAATCCCAAATCCCCCTTTGTTAATGCTCCCCAAAGCTGTTGCTAGCCAGGCTTCCCCTCCCCGGCTGAGCACAGCCAATGGTGATGTTCACTTCGCTTCCCTTGTTTATCAAACAGCATCACAGCTGCCCCCTGGCCCCAGCATCCTCCCCCCAGCCACAGCACCGGGGCTTGGGGCTGACACTGGAGATGCTGCAGCAAGAGAGAGCCAGGAAGGAAAAGAGGGATTTTTTTTTTTAAATTTTTTAATTTTTTTTTTTTTATCATTCTTTGTTTTGTTTTCATGCAAGAACTTCCAAGAGTTTGGCCTGCAGGACTATCAACAGGCTGCCTGTGTGTGCTGGGGCTGGGGAGAGGAATAAAGAATAGTCCTTTAAGCTCTCAGGGGTGTTCTTGTGGCTCAAAGCATGCAGGTGTTGCCAAGGTGTGTTTCTGGGGTGTGTGAAAAACGAGGTTCACATTTTTTTTTAATAGAATTTAAAAGTTTAATAAAAAAGACAATTAGGAGTTAAAAATAAGGCAAAATATACAAATACAGCCGGGTGTCTCAGCATTCAGCCAAGGGCACACCTTACTAACAAAGGATTGTCCCTTAAAAACAAAACCCTACTACATATTCATAAATTCTCATGCATGATTCAAACATTCTTCTTAAGTTTTGGATGTTTCTTTGTTTAGGTTTTAACTTGCCTCCTTCCCAATAAATCAATCTTTTGGCTCCACCGAGTTTCACATTCCCTGATAACAGAAGTGCAATAAATTCCTCCCCCAGAGCTCTGGTCACTGCTGTCCTCATCTGGATAAGATAATTTAAGAATGGAGGGGAGGTCTATAACTATCTTTTTCAGTCTTTGTGTTATACAAACAAAAATAGTTTTTGCTTTAATACTATGCCATGGCTCAACATATATATATTATACCACTATTTCTAAGTTTCATTAATAACAGAAATAGAAGGAACTATATTAATACAACAAAGTTTTCTAACTTTACACATATAACATTCATTTTAATATTTGCAGAAAGCCAATAATATAATATGTATCTATAACAGGTGCATGACTGTACCAGGACACCGACCCCACATGTGAGGGGACATCCCAGAGCAGCTGGGGCCAGAGGAGCAGAGAGGGAAACACAGACATTGCTGGGCTTACACAGCACGGGGGTGGGCAGCCAGCAGAAGGACAGCTG